AGAGGAGTTTTTGAGGGACTACTGGAGGTATGGCCTGGGATATCTTACTTGTCTGCATTTTTAAATATTTCCTTCTGGTCGCTGAAGTTTAGAGCTGTCAGGCAGTTTAGAAATTAAGAACCTCTGTTAGAGCCTCTTTTAACATAAGCAGTCTATAGTGTTATCAATCAAATGGTGTTTAGTGAAAGGATTTTGTTTCAGGCCTGAAATCAGGAAGAGATAAGGACAAAGTACAAGCAGACACTATGGGTAGCAGCTTGTTGAGACTTTTTTAGTTACTCGAGTACTGATGTCTAAAAACATGTGTGGCCTCATGGCCATGTGCTGCCTCCTGCCCAGCTTTGCTAGGCAGAAACAGTGAACTAAGTTCTCAGTGCTGCAGGGATTTGCAGGTTTCTTGGTGCCATTTACAGTAGCTGAAGTAGCCTCCTGTCAGTCAGGTGCTGCTCTCACTGGGTGAGAAGACAGGAAATTTTGGCCATGTTTGCAAAGTAATTTCAACAGCTCTAGTACTTCTGAACTTGTAAATGAAATTGTAAATTTCCACTTTTTGTATTTTAGCTGTATAACTACAGGAAAAGTTCCCTGTTGTAAGTTTTTGTTGTTTCTGTATTTTAACTACAATACTACTAGTTTATTGGTTTCCTCGGTAATTTTTGTATCCACAGACTTTGTCCACACTTTAAAAGTTTTATAAAGTGAAGCTATGGAGCAGCAGGAAGAAACTTCAAATTTTCTAGTGACATAGGACTACCCAGAGATGTTCAATCAAATGTCTGCTTGATGGTTCAGCTGGTCTGGTTAGCTGCACTGTGCTCGAGTTGGAGCAAAACTGGGATTGCCTTTTACATTTGAGAAGTTGAGCCCTTTAAACCATTTAAAAATATTTCTGTTCCTGGAAGCACTAAAGGCAAAGAAACTGTTTTCATTCAGAGTATGGAGAGACTGTAACAGGGGAAAGTAATCACAATGTAACAGTTGCACTTCTTTGGTTTGGCATAAGTGTGTGGGTTGAGGTCTCAGTTAAGGCATTTCCAATGTTTGCCCTTGGATGGTTCTTGCCTTAAACAAGTGGATAGAGGCAGTAAGACTCTAAATGGAAGATTTTGCCCTCATGCCTGCTGTACAAATCCAGTTCAGTGTTAGGAGTGGCTCCTACCACAAAGAAATGCAGAGCTGTGCTGTTTGGGTGCTGTGTCATGGCACAGTGTGCTCTGGAACCCGCTCTAAATGCCCAGAAGAGAGACAATACTTCATGGTGAAAGGGTGCAGCAGCTACAGCCAGAGAACTAAACTCCCATTTAGAGAGAGCATCAGGTGTATCTTTGGAAACCCATAGCAGTTCTCAACTATTGTGCAAGGTGCCTGAGCTCAAAATACCTGTTTTCAGAACTGTCTGCCAGCTGGGACCTTTATCTTACTCAGACATGCAAGATTAGAGGCTTATGACCATTTCTAGCAGGGTTTGTCAAGGCAGACTTGGTATCAGAGGCTAGCAGAGAGTGATTACAGAGGAAGGGTGGGAATGTGTTCTATCATGCAAACGCAGCTGGGATGGGAGTGGAGAATTTATTTTTGTTTAAAAGTTAATCCTCAGAGGGCCTAATATTTCCTGCCCAGCAACTGGGCTGTGTTCTGCCCCGTGCATTAGTCTTTGAAGTCTGCCACAGACCTGGCTGTATTTACTCAAATGCAAATCTGACCAGTTAGGGAAAGGAAAGTTTTTTCTTTCCCTTCTTTGGTAATTACTATGGGTAGTTCAGAAACCAGTTACTGGTAAAACTTTGTAGCAGAAACACAGAGAACCTGGTAAGAAACATTTCTTGCATGTTTTCTTGGATATTTTCTCTCAATAGTGCACCTGTACCAACAGAACAAGCTTAGCTCCTGTTCAGGAACAGACTTCCACTGAAACGTTTCTTCAGCAATGTCCCTGAGTTGTCTGCAAGCTTACAAACAGCTGTAGCCTCTGTGGTGGACACTTTGCAAGTGGGTTCAGAGATGCCATCCTCACCTGGCTGACTTCAGCAGTGAAAATACTAACGTGCATTGTGTTAAGAGCAGAATGGCTTCAGTCTGCACAGGGGCTAGAAAGTGCCTCAGCTATCCAAATTAGAGGAGATACCTTTCTTGTACAATCCTGACTTCACAGAATCTGGAACCAGGCTCGATCAGCCTTCAACCTACCTTTACTTCCATAGGAAGAACAGGATTTTAAGGGGAAAAGAGAGGAATTGAACCTGGGGGCTGAGAGAAGAGCCTATGGGAATAGTCATAGCTCTGTACTGCATTGTGCTCTATGGGAATAGTCATAGCTCTGTACTGCATTGTTCTGAATGTTCCATATTTCATGTATTTCCCTGTACATGGTAATGGCTATGAGCTTCCTTTGGGGGTTTCTGCTGTGATCAGTTGCTTCCTGATATGAGCAGCAGAAAACCAGGCTCTGTAACATTTTATTCATTTTCCCAGCAGTAAGAAGCAGTCAGTATTTTTGCAGATTATCTCAAATACTTGTTTTGCACAAAGTGTCCTTTACATTTCACCTGTGGCTTTTGGCCTTGGTTTGTTCTGTGTACCCAGCTGCAACCCCTTCACATGAAAAGCTTTTTGTGCAACAAATTCAGGATCAGTTAGCAAAATCAGAAGTCTGCATTTGTGTTCCTAAATCCTGATTTAGGCATGTAGGAACATATACACTAGGACTTTCCTTAGAGCTCTTGAATTCTAAACACCTGGGGCAGTGAACCCAGGCTTATTTCCCAAAAACTCACAGCTGGACTGGCAATAAAATTTCTAGAAACCATGGCCAGATACAGCTTCCAGCACACAAAGTCCTACTTCTGCTATCACTTGTGCAGCTTCTTGGTTTCATTGCATGTTTGGGCAACATGAGGAGGTTTTTACAACTCCAGTGAAATCCATTTAACCTTGCAGCACAGGTAACATAGTCTCAATCTAGCTGACACCACAGCTTCTGCCCCACTACAAGCCTAGCAGTGATTCTGTGAGACAACTTTATGACCCATAATGGAAAAAAATTACAAATCTCTCTGGTTACTGAGATGCATTTGTTTTCATGTTCAAGAAACCTGAATTGCACTGCCAGTTTCACCAATAATCAGGCAGGTTTTATCTCGCTGTAAGCAGAAACTGGCCTTGTGCTATACACTGTACACATTATCTAACTTGCTTCAGCTGCAATGATAAACATTGCAGAATCAAATTCAGTAAAGTTTTCCTAGCATTGAGGGTCAGACTCTCAGGTGTTTCTGTGCACTTCAAAGTGCATTCTGGGAGCTCTGCCAAGGCACTTTCTACTACTGAGAAACAGCAGCATTGTGCTGTTTAGTATAAGCAACAGAAGTCTCTACTTCTGCCCCTGTAGGTAGTACAGGCTGCAGGTAGTAGCCAAACTTGCCCTGTATTTTTAGCTTATGCTAAGATGCTCACCAGAGTGAGCAACAAATAAACACTTTAATCACTTGTGTGACTCCCTTTTTGCCATTGTGAGGTGATAATGTTGAATAATAAAGTTTTCAATGTGTGCCCTAGTACATTCTTGCCAGTTGATCCCTTCCATCTGCTTGTTATTTTATCAATCAAAATATTTTAAAATTCTAAAGACGTGAGGAGTGATAGGTTCTGCATGATGGCCATCGTGAATCAGAAGCCCAAGGTCAGGAGTGATAGGTTCTGCATGATGGCCATCATGAATCAGAAGCCCAAGGTCAATGTCCACGTCAGCTGCTGCTGTGTTCACTTATTTCCCTCCTGCCCTTTCTCCTGCTGCCCAGAGCTGGTTACCATCTGAAAACCTAAGTGGGGGAGTTCTTAAAGCAGGTGGAGATCCTAACTGTAAACACTGTGTTGAGGAAGGATGGAATAGATTAAGTAGGACTTTGGAAAGGCCATCTTTGCTTCCAGTGCTCCATAGTGGCTCCCCGAGGCAGTAGTGCTAACACAGTTTGAGAGGAAGTCATACCAGCAGAATTAGTGTCAGGATCAGGGATGACTGACCTTGAGCCTGGCAGCAGGTTTGAGGGGAAGGTAGAATTAGCACAGAGACCCTTTCTGGAAAGTTACTCAAGAAAGAAAAACTGTTTCATTAAGATACCTCTGGATTTAAACAGCTTCTTGGAAGTTGCTGTAACCAACTGTTTCCCTGAATTAACTTTAACGAGCTTTAATGTGTTTTTCTCTTTCAGGTGGAGTGCGTGGGATAGCACGAGGTGGTATTGCAGGTCTGACACTGACTGGTCTCTACGCTCTGTATAACAACTGGGAGCACATGAAGGGCTCCCTAGCCCGGCAGTCCCTCTGAGCAGGGAGCCAGTGCTGGACAGAGGACTTGCTTGCATAGTCACCAATCAAATCAGTTGTGAGATCTATCTGGTGCCCCTTCCTATTTTATTTACAATTAGCGTGAAACTGAAGGAAGCTTTGCTGGGAGGAACCTCTTGACACCACGTAGCTGGACTGGCCCTTTCCATCCCACCAGCCAGTTGCTGGAGAGGTAGCAATGTTTGTTGGACCTGCAAGTGAACAGAGTGGCCACCAAGACAGAGTCTCCCTGACATGCCCACCAGCTAGCCTTGGGGCAGAGCTCCGAGGTGTGCTCGAGTCCCATAGCTGCGCTGCCAGGTTGGTTGGCTAGTGCTGCCTGATAAAGTCTGTGTCTGTAGAGCATTCTCTGCAGTCTCAGTGTGCATGCACAGCCAGCCAGCCCTGCAGCAACTGGCACAGGGCAAGGCTTGTTATTCTGACAGCACCAGGCAAGCTGTAAAAAGGGACATCATCGTTAATAAAAAGGGTGGTACTTACTCAATGTTATTTCTATCCTTTGCTGTTTCTGCTACTGATAAGACAAAAATGTGCTGCATCCAGTGACTTATTGACAGACTTGTTTTGAAGGACCAGTGTGATCAGCTCCTGGGGGTGTGGAAGTGGACTAACAGGCTGATTGTGTCCTGTTGCATGGTTGTGGTGAGGCATACCAGGGCTTGACTCCACTCCCTTACTTGCTCTAATAATTAAGGAACTAGATGTTTCTGGATGAGGAACCATTGCTGTTGCAGAGCAGCTGTCAGTGGATTATCAGAACACTTGGGTGCTCCAGTATCTCAGAATTCATTTAGCCAACAGCTAGAAACCAAACAGTATAAAGACTCTTTTTGTTGCCTATTACAGGACTTCTACTTAGCAGGAAGCTTTTTGCCTGAAATACCATTTCTAGGTTATTGGCAGAATGAAGCCTGTGATAAACCTAAATCTTCTCCAGTGTTAAAATTAAGCCATGTACCAAGCATCATTTGTACATAAATTAAACAGTAAGTTGTGAATTAGTTCAGTAATTAGAGTTACTGTATAACAGCTCATTCCTTCAATGTTTAAATATTTAGACAGGTAAATTATTAAACAGGTCTGAAGACAATGTGAAGGCAGGGCAAGGGAAAAACTGGAAACTTCCTGCTCTGTAGTCAACTTAATGCAAAGTGAGAATTTGAGTTCTCCCTACTGAGACAGCTCTTGATAACTACAATGCACCCAACAAAAAAGTAGTCAAGGGAAGGTGGTAGCTCTTCCCTTCCTCCAAGAAGAAATGCAGCTTTGCTAAGAAACCTCCTTACGAGGCAGTCACTGAGACCAGCTTTTTGTAGAGCAAGTGCTCCAGCTAATGAGCCCTGACAGTTGGACAGCTTTGCTTGCATACCAGGCCATATTAGATGCTGTCAGTGCTGGGTTTTGTTAAGCCTTATGTTCCACAGTCTGTAGTGGGCTGCATATTGCTGTTGTGGTGGCAGAGCTGTACTTTCTAGCATGCATTTTCCAAGGGCTGTACCCCCAGTGAAACTGTCCCCTACTCACAGGCTGCACAGAGGTGATGTAGGCACTGGCTGTGCAGCACTGTCATGTTGAGACATCAGGAAAAGTGTGCTCGCTCTTCTGGGCTTTTTCTCTCCCCACTGGCATCAGCGAGTTCCTCCCCCCACAATTCCTGGTTGCCATTAATTGGACTTCTGTTCCTGCACTCTTGCCCTTGCTGGATGAAGGATTGAGAGCTGCTTTCAGGGCTGATGGTGGGCAGGGGTTGCTTTTTACATGTCAGGAACTCTGCAATGTATCTTTTAGGTTTTCTAGAGACTTTTTTCAGGACTAAAATATAACCCAGGAGCTCTCTACCCTAACTGAAGTGGGAAAACTGGGAAGTTTAATAAATGTCTTTTCTCCTTTAGGTGCACTGGAGATTATGTAGGAACAAGCTTTTTCAAGTTCAGAGTTAGCACAAACTTAAGGCTAGGCTGACTATTGAACAACTTAGCATTATCTGGTCTGCAGTAACTTCAGATTTCCTGGAATTGATTGCCTCAGGGCCACTGCTGAGTGCATTTTTCTGAAATAGCTGTATTACAGCTATTAAAGCTTTGGTTCATAATCTGTTTGTGTATGGAGTGATCCATAGTTTGAGCCATGGAATGGAATCACCATGGAGGCAGCAGTGAGGGAGGTGAATTGCATGTATGGAATACAGATAACATCGTTATGATACTCTATGTCAAGACATACCTTGCTCACAATTTAATGGCAACAGTCGTTAAGTTGCTACTTTAAATTGTGACCAACTCTATGTCAAGACATACCTTGCTCACAGTTTAATGGCTAACAATTCTAAGTTGCTACTTTAAATTGTGACCAGAGGTATATACAAGTTCAGTAGGAATAAAAGGAAGTAAAAGCAAGTTGTAAACAGGATTTGGCAAGCAAGTTGCATCCCTCCCATGCAGTGTTACGTAAGTTGTAAACAGGATTTGGCAAGCAAGTTCCATCCCTCCCATGCAGTGTTATGTAAGTGTGTGAGCATGAGAGACCTTGGCCATCTTGAAGAGTGAGGTTTTGATGCCAGTCATGGTATCTAGCTTTGCTCATGGATCCAAGGCAGCAAGGGAGGGAGCCTGAGAGAACAGGTGTAATGAAAGCTTTTTGAATCTTGTAAAGCTGCTTTTGCTTAGTCTTTGGGACAGAAAGGCAAACCACTTGCACCATTCCCTGTCAGCAGGTGGCTTCTCTTATGGCTGGGGTAATTTGTTGAAAATCACTGGTCACAGTAGGAGTCTCCAGCTTCACTGAAGTGGAAGCTGCTTCGGAAAACAGAAGGCAAATGTGTTAGGGCAGAAAAATGATCAGTGTTCAGAGCCTGTGTTTCCTGTGACTTCAGAAGAAGGGGGACAAATCCTTTTTTATGCTTTAACAGAAGGTTACCCCAGTGCTTAATAAATTCTCAATGGGAAATTGGTGTGTTTGAAGTGGAGCTTTGTGTAGTCCATGAGCATTGGGCTGTGCTGTTGAATGCTATCCAGCGCAGGGACAGCGCTGGGTACCACAACCCTCTTTGGTACTTCCACAGCATCATTGATACCTGTTGTGTGTTCCCTTTGGGTGGCTCTTCCCCCTGTCAGTCCCTCTCTCCCTGCCCTGTGACAACAGCTGCCTGACTTGTACCACAGCTGGTTTGGGGCCAAGGTTATGTGCAGACTGCTGCCCCTGGAACCCTGTGGCACCCTGTTCCAGAAGGGTATGAGAGGAGGGAAGAAGCATTCCTCAGTACAAGGCATCAATCTGGTAACCTTAGATATTCAAAGAAAGCTCCACAAATGCTTGAGAAGCCACAAATTACATTCTTTTCTCTTGATGCTATAGGATGACTATGGGAAAAAAAGTATCTTTTTCCCCCCATCGTTGAAAGCTAAACATTTGGCATACACATTCAGGAGTCCTGCACGTGGCTACTTCTAATGAAGACAGTACAAGGCATCAATCTGGTAACCTTAGATATTCAAAGAAAGCTCCACAAATGCTTGAGAAGCCACAAATTACATTCTTTTCTCTTGATGCTATAGGATGACTATGGGAAAAAAAGTATCTTTTTCCCCCCATCGTTGAAAGCTAAACATTTGGCATACACATTCAGGAGTCCTGCACGTGGCTACTTCTAATGAAGAACTTCAGTTTTTGGCATACACATTCAGGAGTCCTGCATGTGGCTGCACTTCAGTTTTAAAAAAATGTGTGCATGCACACCCACACATGACATTCAAGGTATTGTGGTTGCAAGGCTGCCAGGCCTAGCTGCCTTGTGAGAATGTTCTCTTAATGGAACAATGCAGGCTGGAGTTTAAAGGAATGGAACATCCTCAAAGGAGGAACCAATCGTGCAGGAACTCTGATGTTCAAAAAACCAGAAGAGCCAGAGAGGAACCCACTTCCAATTGCACAAGAAGAGGACCAAAAGCTACTAAAATCCATGAATCTCCTTTAAGTATTCAGGAATGATAAGGAACAAATGTGTCATTGTGTCTAAGCCTGCAGTTGTTACAGGAGCTGAGTAAGCCCTGGTGGGTCAGACACACCAGCTGTGTCCAGGGGCTCATCTTGCAGTGTGGTACTAGGTGTGTGCAGCAGCTTCCACACAGAGGCTAATTAAGCAACATGCCACAGCATTTTTTGTTGACCATCTTGCAAAAGAGATGTAACACACACTTTGGTTGCAATTATTTTTTAATGGAAAAGACTAATTAATGTTTAACATAAATATCAATTAGTGATAACAAGTCAGTTAAGTAAGTAAAGGAATACATACCCCCAAGTTTTAAAGGCTCATAATGAACTGACAAAGTAGCACACAAAACTACAAGGAATTAACAACAAGAGGTGGGCTGCACATCAATCACCTTCAGCAAGTTCAACTGCTAATCACATTAGGCTATTACTGGGGTTGGTCACAGTGCAGTCTTCCCATGCAGCAACAAGGACATGTTAAAGGGGAAAGTGAACTTCCAAAACCACTTTCTGCCCCCAGCAGAAAGCCCCAAGTACAAAAGCCTCAAGTGTTTGGCTGATGTTAAGCCCTTTGGGGTCTGTTTCAGATGTTCAGTGTCCCCCTTCTCAGGTTAAAAACTTCTGAACAAATGCACAGATTCCATCAGATGGGAATGTGTTCACACTGCAAAGTGATACCAAGGTCAGATGATGACAATTTCTTTTCTACAGGGTTGTGAAGAGCAAAAATCACTTTTACTCCCAGGCAGGCTGCAGGGATGGGAAGAATGAGAGGCTGTTTTATGGTCATTAAGATCAATTTGTTAAATGAGTAGAAGCTACACCAGGAACTATGCAACTTCACAGTTTTTTTTCATAGAGGCTGACAGGCCTGATCCACATTTCCATCTAAAATCTTTGTACTCTTTGCTATGGGCCAAAAATGCTAACTATTCGAAGAGGTATTGCTCATATTATGTCCACAGCTAGAGAGATCTGAGTGACTGGAGCCCATTTTCACATGCACAGTCACATGGAAATCCACAGAGTAAACACCTTTTAGCTGCACCAGTGAGAGCCACAGTTTGTCAAGCTTCCCCATTAAACAACATGACATCAAACTGCTGAAGGGCATTTAATTCCCCAAATATTACCTTTAAATATTATGTGGCTAAGATGCCTGCTTTCCAGTGGTTTAGTCAATAAAAGAACTAGCAGAAACACACACATTTCATTTTACAGCTTTTTCAGTGATATTCAAGTAGTTATTAAATGCTGGGGACATGGTAGGACCTGATCTGCCTCTGCATGAAAATTAACACACTGCCCTGTTCACTGAATGGCTTGAAAGTTTTCATTTTAAAACAAGTTACCAATTCTGTCATGTGTCAGGTCCCATAAATCCATGTCTTTTTCCAAATCTGGACTACACATAGCTGGGAGATGCACCAATACAAGATGCAAATGAAACCTCCAAAGTTAGCAACTGCTCAATAAAAGAAATTGCTTCCAAATACAACCTAAGTCACCCTGCAACCCCAGCAAGCTGAATCCCAACTCATGACAATATTGTAGCAGCTGAAAGGAACAGCAGGACTTTGAAAGTCACTGCCAAAGGTGAATGTTCACGGCACCAGGAAGATTTTGCTTCATACTTGCACTGGCTTCAACATACTACAAGTGACAACCCATTAAAGATGATCCTTGTATTCCCATAAACAGATAGGAATTTGCTAACACCTCTATAGCATCAGTTTACTTATGTTCGGTGGGTTTACATTTCAGAATTAATCATTAACAAAAAGGCATCTTCTGCACCATAACTCTGTTATAGGAGGAATCTCTCTCTCTGTTATAATCTTAGAAGAAAAAGCAGATGGCCAAACACAAAACACAAGAATTCAGCTGGCTGCAGTCACTCAGCACGTGCGACTGATAGCAGGAACGAGATCATTTCCACACTTCCAGTTCTTCACATCTAAACAATTTTAAAATGAGGTTATTCTCTTTGATAAATAGAAAGCAGCACTTTGAAAAAAAAACAACCAAACAAAACAGTATAAGATACCATGGGGAAAGAAAAAAAATCATACTAAAGTTCTTCCTAGAACTGAGTATCTTGCCTTTTAGGGTTTGAAGCTTTCCTGCTAAGGACCATTTCCATGATTTCAAAAACAATGATAAAGTTACCTTGGCAGCAAGGAAAAACATGATGTCAGCTGTAAATACATTACTGATGTAAACAAGAAGCTGCCTGGAAATTTGCACATTAATTGCACATTCTAGTTACAAGCAAACTAAGTGTCAATCAGGTGAGTAATTTACACAAGAACATAAGCTTGTGATCAAAAGAGAAGGAATCATGACAAAGGAGAATGGTCCAAGCTGTTAAAAAGGTCTGTAAGGAGGAACTTAAAACACTGTTAAACTCTAGACTTAGATGATGACCATTAGCTGCCAGTGCCTGTGTTCTGTACCCCCAGCTTAGCTGTTGTAATACACTGTGCATCCTACCTGTAAAGGAGACCGATACAGCCATTTCTCATTATCTCCGCCGAGTTTCATACAGGCAAAAAGGTCACAGACTGTAGGAAGGCCAAAGTCCTGAAAGAACAGTCACCTTAATCAGTGATCCCCAAACATAAATATATTCTGATTATTTTCAATAAAGCGTTCAAAACCAAAACAGAAACGTGTTCAAAATTAAAATCAGAAGCGTCTTCCAAGCCTTTGAGATGAATACTTTCTTCATTTAGCAAAACATATTAACTTGTTTTGTGTTAAGTAATTAATAATCATGAAAACATTCCAAGAGATATGAAACCTAAGAAGTGTCAGTCAGTATTATCCAGAAGAGCTATGAGTTTGGAAGAGAAGGAAGTCATTAAATTCAGTAAAACAATAAACCCAGTACATAAGACACAGCAGTAACAAAACCTTGGGCTCACCTGTGCTTTCTTGCGCAGAAGCCACTTGTCTTCCACTGGAGGCGTGTTTGCATTTTCTAGGTCATTTGAAGTCAACACCCAACTGTTTACATTCAAGGGGAGGTGGAATGGAGCCAAGAGGTCTAGGAAAGGACTCTTGAAACTATTGTCTGCTTTTTCTCGACTCGCCTTTTCTTCTGCACTCTCTGCTTTGTGCTCAGCCTTGGCCAGCCAGCTTGTCAGAGGCCTTTCCAGCAACACTTTCAAGGGTTCTGCGATCTCTGCTGAATAATCTGCTTTCTCTGCACTCACAGGTCCCCCTGTGAGCTGCTGTGTGGGGTTAAGCCAGGTATTGGCAGCAGACTTGATCTTCTCGTGCTCAGGGTCTGGTACGTCTTTCTGGCTGACTGGAACTCCATTTTTATCCTTCCCATCTTTCTTCAGAAGCCATTTACAAAGAGCCTCTTTTCCACAGTTTTCATCGCACACGCATTCCGAAAAGCTGGAACACAGCTCATTACCTTTGCACACATCTTCCACTTTAAAGGGGGCCTGGGGATGCTGAAGAAGCCAAGCATTCACAGCAGATGTAGTGGGTGATTTCTTTCCATCAAGATGCTCATTCAGGCACTTCAGATTTCCCAGGTTCTCAATTTCCACACTTTTGATCTGGCTGCCACGACAACTGGTACATGTTTCAGCTTTGAGGAGCCAATCATTCAAATTGCGCTCTTCCCTAAAAGGTTTAAATTCCCACTTCCATTTCTCATTTGAAGCAGTACTTCCATTTTCCGTGTCAGGAGTAAGCAGCCAGTCAGAAAGGTCCATCTCTTCTTGTCCAAGGGATTCCAATTCCTCCACCTTGTCAACAGTGGAGAAGGATGAGTTGAAAGTAGAGGTGGAGTCCTTGCGGCCAGGGGGGGAGTCTGTCTTCCCAGCAACATCATGTTGATTCTGCAGGAGCCAGTTCTCCAAATCTTTCAAATTTCCCCAAGCTTGCTCAAAATAACAGACTTTGGGAGAATTCAAATCCTAGTAAAGACACATTGAAATACATCTATTAACACTAAAAGGCAATGGTCAGTAACTTCGCATAGTTACAGCTTGGAGCATTCAGATAATAAGTGCCAAAGTATTAGTTGAACATGAGGCAGAATGCAGAGCATTACAGAAGGTTTAATTCTCACCATATTCTGCCTGTAATCAGATACTGTGTAGTAAACACTAGGTTAGTGCACAGAAGGCTTACCTGGCTGGGCTCCGACACACACTGCTGCGTAACCCATTCCTCCAGATTGGTGCTGGGAACATAGGGAGCCTGGCGAACACCCACAGGTCTGCTGCCAAGTAACCAGTCAGCCAGGGAGGCACTCACTGTGCCACACAGTGTCTTCTGCTGAGAAACAATGTTCTTGGTCATGAGAAAGTCTAATTCCCGAGGCAATCTATGCTGAACATCAACACAGGCATTCAACATGTGTCAGTATTTCTGCACCAAAAGACAAACCGGTCCCTTCTAATTATCAAAAGTAAATCTTCAATTGCCTATATGCCTTGAAGCCACTGCACTGGGAGACTGTTCTGTAATCCCAGATTCTTCACAGAGCAAATTACAAGAAAGGGAAGCAACAACTTCTAAACCACACAGCCCTGAGATGTGTAACCAGCCACAACCCTCCTCCTGACCCCAGTTCCCATTACTAACTTCCTACCCTCCTTGCCTGACACTGTCTGTGCAGAGCCCAACACAAGATTTCCAGTTAGTTTCTGTATTAAAAGGAATTGGATAATTCCAAGTCCCGGCTTAACAATGTCAAGGAACAGGCAGTTAAAAAATTCTGACTGATAGTCACACTCCACATACACTTTCACACTATGTTCCTGCATGTTCCTGTAGCAGCTACAACATCAGACCACTAATGCTCACCACCACAGCCACTGTTACTGGCTGCTTAAGCATCCTAAGAACCAAACAGAAGTCACTACTCAAGCAGACTCACACAATATGCTTGAGTTCTCCTCTTTCCTTTAATGCAATTAAAGACTCGCTGATGTGAGTGTTAATCTTACCTGCTCACAGTTCATCAGGGCACAGTTCTGCCCTGGGAACCAGGGAGCAGCACTCTCTCTCTCTGAGGTTTGCTGAAAGAAAAGTAAAAGTTAATTTAAATCTCCATTTTTATCCAGTTTCTAGGACGAATTCTATAATAAAGCAGAAGTAATGTGCAGTTACAACCAATTGGTCAGTGCTTAATGGCTAACAAATGTTCTCATCACTTACAAACAGAATGGAGAAAGATTGACTATAAAAATACTACCTTCAGTTCACTTTCTTTAAGAGAACTGTCTCCACTAATACAGGAAATATGTTGCTTGCATAAGAATCTCAAAATCCATTTTTATCACAGAAAGCCCTCCATAGTGTATTAACTATTGCTATCTAAAGAAAACAGCAAGATTTCGACTGCTGGAATAGAGTAAGAATACAGTAGTCATTCCCTCATCCTCTGCCAAACTACATTAAAATAACATGTACATAACCAAATAACTCAACTCAATGAAAATGAAAACATGCAATAGTTAATAAACCACTGTGTACTTATTATACACTTAAAACTCTATGACTCCTACACAGGATCCATTCAAACTGTAACTAAAACCAGAAATTCCACTTGGAACATATCATGCTACTGAAAAAAAAACTTCTTTTTTTTGAGGCAAGTATTCCAACCCAGGAAAATCTTGATGCATACCATTGTTTTAATTGAACCAAATGAGGTAATAGCCTGGCGAAGGTAAGATGTATCAGCCTCAAAATTCAGGATGGAAGACTCTTCTGGTTTAAGAGTAAGACTCGCCAGTCTAAGAGAGAAAGACAAAGACAAAAAAAAAAGTAAAATCACAGTCTTCATCTGTCCTGTTTTAGAAGTCTGTCCATTATTTCATAAAAGGCTTCCAAGCTGAACTTGCCACTAATTAGGGAACAAAATAGGCTTTTAATACTTGCATGCAAGAAAAAGATGCTTATCCACAAACCAAGAACAGAATAAAATGCCAGCAAAACACAAGTTTTACCTTCTTACGACAACTGCCTTCAACAACTAATACTCAAAAATCTGCATAGATGAGTACCTCCCCTACTCATTACAGTCCTGTTTTTTCAATCTAAGATTTAAAAAAAACCATGACAGGAATCATCTCAGACTGCTTTAAAGAACTTATTTCTAGGAACCATTAAAAATGGAGGAACAGTAAGTGAAATCTATTACTAGTTCTACTGGAATCAAAAATCGGATTAAATTCGCAAGTCAAAATAAAACCAACTGTGTTAACTTGCATCATAAAACATACTTACCTCTCCAGGCAAACTGAAATCTGGTTTGCTAGTTCATTGCTATAGGAGCGTTCCAGCTGATGAATAAGGCAATTGAACTGTCCCAAATACTGCATGGAAGACAAAACACATGTTCTTGTTTTGGCTTCTAGGACTCAAACTGTGAAAATACTTGCAAAGACAAAGTTTGCATTAAAATGCCAGTGCAACAAGTGAGAAGCAAACCTCACCCAGTAGAGCTGCTGTGCCTGCTGCTGCAGTGCTTCCTCTTTGAGCTGCTGGATGAGGTCCACCTGCTCAAACAGCCACACCTCGCGGCTCCGCAGGCATTCCAGGTGGCGGCTGATGTGGCTGTGGATCTTTGCTTTGACCTGGAAGGTAACACGGACCATTTCTGCAACATCTCTCAAATGCCATGAAGAAACGTGTGCTGCACTGATTACAAAATACTATTTGTCAGAGATAAGTAGTATTTTTGGAGAAATTTATTTCTGAGAAACTACTCACAGCCACCCACAGCACCACACGACTCGAGATAGTAAAAGCTCCTAGGCTACCTTTAAAGAAGTGTCAAAGAACAAATGTTACTTGCCACATCTCTCTATTCTGATGTTTCAACCAACAGCTTTAGGAAACTCTGCACGCCTAAGCTAGTAATACAGGAATAGCTTTATCAAGAGCATGACCAAATGACACTGCTTGCAAGTCTAGGAAAATTTCAGACCATCATGTAAGTAAGTACATACTCTGGAATAATAAAAACTGTCATTAAAGTCGTGTTAGTTATTAAAACATTTTTTAAAAATAATTTTAAATTACCTCCCGCCAGTTCTCTTTTATCTGCTGCTCAGCTTTGACAATTCCAGATATAGCAGTTTCCAAGTCCTTCTTTGCTTGAAGGCACTTTGCCAGAGTCTCACTGCTGCAGGAATTTCTGTTTCTATCTTGTGGTGGACTCATTCTTGAAGTGTTCCTGAAACACAATGGAAAAACAATTTCTTAATAGTTTCTATTCCTCTTTAATGGAAGAGGAAGGGCATCATATGAAGAACCATCTGCTCTACTGCACTATGAAGGTGAACAAAAAACCTCTGAGACTCTGTGCGGATGCAAGTTTTCTAAACATAGATGAAGCTTTCTCCAGGAGCAACAAATGTCTCTTGAACCCACAGGCCCACGGAATTTGCACAATCTCAGGAAAACCAACAGACACTTGACAACAGCTTCAACTGCAGGAGCTTGAGCAATCCTCCCCTGCCAGCCACCTTCCTCCAGCTTTTATGCCTAGCCAGCAAACTCCAGAGCTGAGGGGCTGATCCAGGGAAGGTTCGGCAGCAATGCTGGAGCTGGGGCAGAATGGCCCAGCCAGAGCCAGGAAATGTTTTGGTCATCCTTTTTCCAGCTGCAGGCAAATGAACTGGCTCCCACAAACGAGAAAATTCCAACAGTTTGATCAACTGAAAACCCAACTGTAGCTATGCAGATCAGTCTTCACTAAGCTGCAAAGGCCAAAACTTGTAACAGCCCATTACTTTTGTCCTGGTCACAGCCCAGGTAACTTGTAACAGCTGCCCATTACTTTGGTCCTGGTCACAGCCCAGGTAATTTACTTAGCTTCAGCACAGCCTCCAGTAAAAGGGGCTCACATACAAGATTTCTACAGAAGTTATAGTGGTAAGGATTCTGCAGCTAAGGGAATAAAGATAATATGGGTTTCCAGTAAAAACAGGAAGGATCAATGTAAGCATTTTTTCTTATTTTGTATTTTGTTACTGAAGAGTGTGGATTCTCCTGTGAGTTTCCTGGGATTCCTGAAGCACTAACTAAACATTCATAGTAAGCATTCTATAGAAAACAAGTCCTCAGCAATGACAGCTAAGGAAATTCCCAGCAGAATTAAAGTGTACACGTGTACCAGTTTAAAATGTCACAGATTTTACCACTTCTCTGGAGGCAACTGAAAGGAGTGCTTTGAATAGACAAGATGACCACAGAGTTTCTGTTACTGAGCAGCTATTTAGTCTGAAATTTCCATTCCCCAAGATAACAAACTGCAACCCACCAGACAGATATAAGTTGTGAATTTCAGAGAGCAGAGGGCTAGGAGTGGCTTGCAAGTGGAAGCTGACAGAAAAAAAACAAGGTTTGCTGCAGGGCAGCAGCAGAGGCTGCATCTCCTCTGGCTCCTCCACACCACATGCTTCCTGTGTCTCCAGTGCCTCCAGACATGAGACATGGAGCAGGCACAGAAACTACCCCAAGCCCTTGCAACTCAGTTGCATCTTCACCATAACATCTCATCTTCTAGGAAGTGCAGAGCACAACTACAAGAGAAGTGAACTGCAATGTATTTTTTAAGCTTGCTATTCTACACCAAACTAGAGAGGGTGCAGAAGTCCAAAAGACATCATTCTCCATTCTGTGTTATGAATCCCACTTTTGTCCCTGTATTTGCATACTCTAATTCATTTGCAGGTTCAATTCTGTAAGCTTTCATGATCTTCACCTTGCTAGCAATATTCAATAAAAGGTAAGCATTCTCTTCATAACACCCCTTAGACTTTATCTGGCTTGTCAACTCTCATGTACAACCTACAAAAAGGTGTAAGTGGGAGCCCTAGCTCTCAGATGTAATCTAACAGTATTAATGCAAAGGCAGCAATACATTCAGCCAAATAAACAAGGGCATCAGGTACATTAAAAGCTATCATATACTCAAAAGTAAACAAAGACTATCATATTATTATTTTATTCATTATATTCTTACCTAACAACCAAGTCAAAGTCTGAGAGGCTAAATGTAATTGCTGTGTTTGCTCACGTAGTAGATAATTTTCATAAAAGTTGTAAGTACAGTATGTTAAGCCCAAAGTTAATGCTGTGTTATCATTTACATGATTTCTGAATTCATGCCACGAAGGAATTGGGCTGAGTGCCTGAAGAAATGCCACTTTTTCATGCTCTGTATTAGCAACTTCACATTGGCACAGTAAGATTTAAGAAACATACATGTGCCTCTCTAATGAAACTAGTGTGTTAGTTGCTTTTCTGGGTTTTTGTTTGATTGCAAGAGACTGACTCCAAAACACACCCAATGAATGCTTCTTTCCCCTAGCCAGCCAGCTCTTGTTAAAATGGCTGTTCTTATGCTGTGTCAAAACCCAGCCAGTAAAACTCACATGACAGCTGAGGGTGAGAGCCAATCCACCCTTCTTTTCAATTCCCACAAACCTCTGACAGAACTAAGCGGTGGCAACCACCTATTTCCTTGCTTCCCAATTATCACCACGTAGGACTCGGAATTGACAACGTTTTCAGATCCCACGCTCTGAAACACCCGAG